AATCTGAGCTAAGATGAATTAGTTATGAATTTTTAAAGATTAAATCGGATTAAAACACTCATATGGATTTTAATTGAATTATGACGCAATAATGAATTATTTTTGAAAAGAAAAAGGGAATTATTGCGTCAGCGGCTAGGATTCGCGGTGGACCGGGTGCACGGCGGCGGCTCACGGAAACGAAAGGCCAAGATCGATCCATCCAAAACGGACGGCCAAGATCCATCGGTCCATGACCGGGCCACGGGGAACGACGACGATGACGTCAGCGGTGACGTCATCACCGGCGACGACTCGGGCACGCATGCCCGCCGGCGAACGACGGCGCGACAACGCGAACGGAGAGCACCAAAACGATGCGGGCGACGCGGCGAACTCACCGATGACCTAAATGGCGACGGACGGTGACCGGATGACGTCGGCGACGAGGAAGAAGCAGCGGCGCTCTTCGGCTTGACGACGGCGACGGTGTTCCGGCGGTCTACAGCGACGATGGAGGGGCAGACGAAGTTGGCGACGGCTTGGCGAACCCGACGACGGCTTTCCCGAGCGACGACGACGACTGAAGCGACGGCGGCGACGGCGACGCTAGGCTGCACGGGGCTAGGGCTCTACGGGCGACGAGAGGTGAAGGCGAGGGTGGCGGTGGGTAGCGGCGGGCTTGGGGGTCAATTTATAGCGGCTAGGAGGCGGCGTCGGAGGCCCACGGCGACCGGCGACGGCGAAGGAAGGTCTAGGGTTTGGGGAGAGAGACGAATCCGATTCGAGATCGAATCCACGGATTTCCAAACGAAATTAGCCGACGATTCCATAAGAGAAAAGATAGAGGGGATCCCGGGGATCATTTCCCCTCTATTAATTTCATCGGAAACGGAAAGGGGCGGCCGGATTTGGAAGGAGATGGCGGCGGCGTGGCGCTAGGGCTCGGGCGGCGGGCGGCCGGAGGTAGACGACGACCTGACAGGCGGGCCCCACCTGTCAGCGTCTGAGGGCGCGTGCACGCGGCGGCTGCGGGCGGACTGGGCCGGCTTGGGCCGGGGAGAGAGAGAAGGTTTTGGGCCGACTTTCGGCCCAAAGCCAAAAGCGAATTTTAAAAACCTTTTTCAATTTAAATTATTCATTAAATGCAATTCCATTTATTAAAAATACTTTCTTAGCTCAAATAAATCCCAGAAAAATCTAGGAATTATAGAATTAAGCAAAGTATTTAATGAAATTTTATCTGGCCCCATTTTATATTGGAATTTATTAATTAAAACTAGATCTTCTCTTCTAGGCTTTTAAAATAAATTCTAATAATTCCAATTTAGACAACAATTTATATATTTGGGATTTTTAGGGTGTGACATGATGCTTAAAAATATAAATGTTTGAGTTATGAAAAATATAGAATCACAGGTAATGTGAAACAGGGAGAGAATAGTTTGATAATTTTTTTGACAAAAGCCATCATGTTCCATTCCTCCACTCCTCACTATATCTGATTATTACAACAGCACGTATGCAGATTGTTACATAGAAATACCTCGCCAGGTACCAGCTCTTTCTATCCGCATCTTAACAGAATCATGCATGCAAATAAAAACATAATCGATCGATCAGGTTAGGTGTGGCTAGTACGTGCGGGGTTGGACTGGGTTACAGGCGATAGACAAAGCAATCAGGAAACGGACTTCGGACTTGGTGAGGAGCCGGTCGGAGACGCGTGATTTGGAAAACTCACGCTGAAAATTAGACATAAGCAACGTACGAAAGATTTTGGACAAAAACATCTTGAACTTTTATAATAGTATAAGTAGTAGAAAAAATGCCCGTGCGTTATAACGGGTGAAGGCTATTTTAATTTTATTATTGTTCACTCTGAAATTCATTGTGAGAATTCTCTTAGATATATATTTTTCTAGAAAATCATGTCAAGTTAGCATGCGAGTTTTTTTACATAGATTTCTTATACAACTCCTTCCATATTTCTAAAAGCGAGCGAACTTAAAACGTTAACCCGACTCAAATAAAAATATGTATTTCTAAAAGCAAACGAACTTAAAAACTAACTCATACACGGATGACGTACCAAAATACCGACAAAAACATCTTTAATTTTTATAATAGCAGAGATAGGTGTAGTATAGATATATATGGATAAAGGTAAAGATAAATATAAGGATAAAGATTTTTATCTTATTCAAAATTTTTTCTAGTGTTTATGTTCTCCAAAAATCATGAACAAACATAAGAAAATAACTTTAGGGTACGTGTCTTAAAAATTGAAATTGTGTCTTAAAAATTGAAATTGTATAGGAACAGAAGAATCTGAGGTAAGTGCTATAAAAATTAAAGTTGTGTGTGAACATAAAACTCAGAAACAGTCTTGTTTTCACGGGAACTGGAGGGCATACGTGCATGTGTCAGGGTTGTGCGTACGTGCATGCGTCAAAGCTAGCGCATAGCCCGGACGCGGTGCGCAGCGTGGAATGCGGGAATTGCAATCGGATGCGGAGGGCAGCCAAACGGACAAGGTGACCATGGACAAAAAAAAAAAAAAATCGTACGGAACGGAGTCGAACAAGGTGACGTACGAAATTTATCGGGCAAAAACATCTTAAACTTTTATAATAGGTAAAGATAAATATATATATATATATATAAACATATCCACACGTATCCTTATTTTTAAAAGAATGACGTATCCCTATATCGCGTATCCGTATCCGTATCCTCGTATCTGGGTAACATAGGTTCCTGTGGTGTTCGAAGAGCGATGTGGGTGGGAATCGGAGTCGGACAAAAAAAACCACTATGGATGCGATCTGAGAAAGAAAAAAACCGTGCGGGGAGTCGGACCAAAAAAACGTGCGCTAAAAAAACCGAGCGAACTTTTTGGGGGAGTCGGACAAATAAAACCGTATATTAAAAAAATCGGGCGAAAAAAAACCGGGCGCTATTTCCAAATTGGGGGTGACTTATGAAAGTTTCTGGTAAAAACACCTCAAACTTTTATAATAGGTAAAGATAAAGATAAAGATACGATTTAGTTATGATGAAATTCGCTGTGGTAATTTGTTTAGATATTTTTTTAGAAAATCATGAGCTGCAATTAGGAGTCCGACTTTCATCTCAAGTTAGCATCTAGCGTCGCAGTCTCCGCCATCGCCGCATCTTCCTCTTCCACCTCGCCCTAGCGACCTCTCCCCACCCGTTGGCTGGAAAAGTGAGAGAGAGAAGGGAGGGAGAGGAAAGGGAAGAGAGAGGGTGCTGATGTGGCGTCCTGACATGTGGATCCCACGCTGAGTCAGCCGCCACGTCGGATAAACCGGGGTCAAAACCGCCGAGGGACCTAGTTTGCACAGTTTTATAAGTTGGGGGATGCATTATATCCGGTTTTGTGGTTGGAGGACGATTTTGTAATTCGATGACAAGTTGAGGGATCTTCGGTGTACCTTTTCCTTCTTTTTTTAAAAGAACATGTAGACTCTATATTCAACCGACCGGGCCTTTAAAATCCGTGGGCCGTAGTGTCCATTTGTTAGTGAGCCATGTACTGTTTCATATTATAGCAACCTAGATAGGATGGAACGTTGACCTCTCCAATTTCGTTGTACTATGAAACGTCCCATCCGGTCATAGGTTGTTATATTATGAGACGGAGGGAGTACTTAAATTACCGTGCACTAATAACAGTGGTTATTTTCCCTATAAGAAGTTGGAAGTGGGTCCAACTGGTCAGCGTCTCCCTGGCCAGGTCATCTTTGACCTCGCGACAACGATGAATGCTTGTGCAAGTGTTGGATGACTTGCAAGAGATCGGTTCAGCGCATGGCGTGGATACCTCTGGCCGCCACCAACGGGGCACGGCGACGCTAGGGTGAACTCCCTTGCTCCATCTTGATCCATCGTTTGTGCTGCCCTCGTGATCGATACACACGGCGAAACGTTACGAGTTACGACTCGATCTGAGGACACATGACCATATATATGCAGCGTACTTCTGTGCCTCAGTTTCCTGATCCGATTCTATTTTGGTGTCGAACACGTTAGGCGCACGTTTGCTTGTGTCACGCTGGAGACGGACAGATCGATATACATGCTCTGCCAGCGTTGGGAGAACATCATCAGACGCTAGATGCAGAACGTATCCAGGAAGAGGTGTGATCATGGGCGAGTTGGACAACGGCACTAGAACAGGATCGCTTATCTGTGACGAGCTGATATTGGTGGAGAAACCATCTTTGGTCGGTCGACCAGATTTCACAATAGTCCCGGTTGTATTAAAAACCGGGACTACAAATATCTTTAGTCCCGGTTTAAAACCAAGGTACTTTTTAATCTTTAGTACCGGTTAGTAACGGACTAAAGATCTATTTGTAGTCCTAGTTAATAACACCAACCGGAAAAAAAGATCACCATAAAGATTTATTTATAGTCCCGGTTGGTAACACCAACTGGAAAAAAAAATCGACGCGGAGATTGGAGAGGCATGCGCGATCGGATCGAGGTATCTCCTCCTCTCCTTTAACTCCTCTCTCCTCCTCTCCTCAACCTTATCTCCTCCTCTCCTTTTAACTTCTCTCCTCACAACCTTGGAAAGCCTGAAGAAGATGATTGGCTTTCAGAAGAAAAAGAAAAGAAAGCTTGAAGGGGATTTACTAACAGGAACAATGGAAAAATTACTCCGTGGTGATGGACTTTTTGCCTGCTGCTCTGTGGCGGAGGTGCTGCTTTAGTGCCGGCCACAAAGGGTTGATGCTGCTCTTGGGTCGGGCCGTCGTGGGACGACGACTGCCAGCCTTAGCCCCTGAGCCCGACGGCGGAGGGTCTGCGACATGGCCCGCTAAAGGAAGCGCTGCACCCACCAGCAGAGCAAACGCTGCGCAATGCAGAGGCGGCGGCGAGCGGTAGCAGCGGTGGCGGCAGTTGGCGGGAGAGGAGGCGCGTGAGCATGAGGACTGGTGGTAGTGAACGGCGGCGCACTAGTCAGATGGCTGGGTTACGATGTTCACACGTATTCGAAATGTATCCGTGGTTGTTTTATTTAATTGAAAATTGGGAAAGTGCAGGATACGTACGGGATACGTATTGGAGCGTATCCGTATCCGTTGGAGTATCCGATACGGATGTGTGACTTCAGTGAAGTATCGGGGTAACGTAGACAGGAACTCCCCCCCCCCCCCCCCCCCCCCACAATATTACATTCGAACACCACAGGAACGCTGCATACATCCTATCCTATATATATACAAACAAAACTGGTACCACAAATAAAATTTGTTCTTGTGGTGTGACAAAAAAAGCATTCAAAGAGTTCTACTCCAACACCAAAGAAGCCATCGTGCCAAGAGCAGCTCCGTGAACAACTTCAATTGTATTGGGGATCACAAATTCACAATGCCTAAACATACAAAATGCATTTGTAAGTATTCTCAGGGCCATAAGTTCATCAGCAACCATCAACTAAGACAGAACATATTTTGATGCATTTGTGTAATGATTTGGAAGGACAATATCAAATATTCTAAGCAGTTTGCATAAACTCCCAACAAAAAAACATTTAGAGGAATGCAGCATTACTAACCATTCCAGGCATCTTGATCTCTTGTCTTGGTAGTCAAAGTTTCTGAGTTCCAATCACAGCTATAAATGCAATTTTTAATATTTGACATGGTAGTGCTGTAACAAAATAAGATATTTTCAGTGTTCAAAACAATGTTAGAGATTCAGTGCTGAAGACTGACTCAATCATGAAAAAAATATGGAGCTTACCAATTTCACGCGGTGAAACACCACATAATCAGCTTCTGGTCCACGCCCAATATCCACAACACAAAGCACCCCACAGCAGGCCTACCTCGGCGCTGTACAAAGGACGTGGTTCAGTACCTTGACAGAATATATTGTGTCAATTCAAAATTCTACAGAGAAAAACCAAGTTGCTTCTTCTGGTCAAATGCAAAAAGTTTCATCGCAGTAAAAATTGAACCAGATGTATTATTAACAACAAAAATTGAACTTAAGGAAGACACCAAATACTAATAGATCAGCAATTAAACCATATAACTATGTTTGAAATTTAGCCCAAATGAAGCTTCATGCAAATGACACAAAAATTTTGCATCTCAGTGTTTCAAAACTACGTAAAATTGTACCTGTAGTATATGGCTATAACTTTCGCAGTGACCTTATCTGAATTCCTGGTAGAGTATTGTCATACCCATCAAGACCCCCATAGCTGCCCAAATAACCACCAGTACCAAAGATCCCAAAGTTAATCTGCAAAGAAAGATTTGGTGTGAGTTTGAGAACACAGGATTAAACAGTGTCAAATACTGCATATATTATGAATGTGATCAAAATTGCAGATCTTCCCTGTACTACTACTCATGCCTGATATTCTGATTGATATCGTAATTCCTATGTCCATAAATAAAGGTGATGGATCTTTTAGTATTTTTGTTATTGTTTCTCTTCTTCCCTCCATCTTTTTGTTTAGAGCATTAGTTATAGTTTATAACATGTTTCAAATAAGAAGTGTCCATTGACAATAACACTACTTTATTATCACCAAAGAAAGGAGATTGCATAGCATCTTTAATTGAATAAGTGGTACAGTTACATTTATTTGAAGAATTGCAGCTCTTACAGCTACCAAAACCATCGCTGGTCAGAACTCCCAACAAGCAAAGAACACACATCCATATGCCCCGGACCCCCACATGAACATACACAAACAAAATCAACCGATAACGCACATGAAATCATGAAGAAACGCCCACTATCTTCAATGGCACCACTCAGCCGCGCTCTCCTCGGTCCACCATCTTGAAAGCTCCTCTCCAGCCAGCCGAACAGCTAACGGGGAGTCCGCTCTCACAGGATCCGACGGCCATGGCCTCCTCATCAGCAGAACCACAGGTCAACCTTCGTCCGCCATCTTGAAACCTTCTCTCCGACCAGCCGGACAGCTACTGGCAAATCTGCGCGAGAGGGGGCGGAGAGATGACGGGATCCATGCGGGAGGGGAAGTGGTCACAAGATCCGACGCTCCCGTAGCTGCCGATGGCTGATCCATGCGAGAGGGGGGCGGAGAGATGACGGGATCAGCGTGGGAGGGGAAGAGGTCGCCGGATCCGCCCCTCCCATAATCGCCGACGGCGGATCCGCGCGAGAGGGGGGGGGGAGGGGGGCGAACAGACGACGGGATCAGCGCGGGAGGGGAAGAGGTTGCTGTATCCGCCCCTCCCATCGCCGCCGACGGTGGATCCGCGCAAGAGGGGGTGAACAAGCGATGGGATATGTGAGGGAGGAGAAGAGGTCACCGGATCCGCCCCTCCCATCGCCGCCGACGGCGGATCCGCGCGAGAGGGGAGCGAACAGACGATGGGATATGTGAGGGAGGGGAAGAGGTCGCTGGATCCGCCCCTCCCGTCGCCGCCGATGCCGCCATCACCAAAACAGCCACCACCGATCATTTCGCTGGAGAGCCGCAGGATGCCCAAATCCAAGTCCTATGAGGAGGAAAGCCATGGGGATCCAGTGAGTGAGAGGGCAGGAGGGAGGAGGGACTGAGGGAGAGAGTTGTTTGGTCTGGGTGAGTGGGAGGGGAGGAGGGAGAGTCAAGGAGAGACCGTTAGAGACTGGGAGAAATATCATCGGAAGAGACGAGAGACTCTTGCTGTTGCTTTCTTATTTTACCCTCCCTGTTGACTTTACTTCCATTGCTTTATTTTTTTTCTCCCCGTATACACTACTTCTATTGCTTGGACTCTTCCTTTTTATATATAGGAGTACTAGACATTGAAGCGCGCTACGCGCGCCCTATCGGGGTGCTAATGACAGAACAAAAGGTCTAGTTTCATAAAAAGCAAACAACAGTTTTAAAAGTGACAAATGTTTACATGTACTGGATAAAGCAAGAACGGCATTCATATTTTTCATTAAAAACAGTGTAGGGCACGCCATTGCAGAGAGATTATGAAGATACAAACAAGAATGTAACTGCTGGCAATGTAACACAGGTAAAGATAGCAACTCCATGGAACATAGCAACAACGTAACGATTTGAAGATAGCAGAGGATATAACCATAAGCAGTCTTAATATTTGTCTGACATAACAGAATGATAAGGTAACATGTGGCCATGTCTCTGTTAATTGTTCAGGACCTATTGCTCTGCTAGGTTAGCTGCAATTGTAATGTATCCTGAGCATATAGCTGGAGCATACTAAACATAACAGCAACAATAGCATACATATATAGATAAGGATGGTTCCAAAAGGCTTGAAGTAATAAAGAGACGGGCATAGTTTATAGCAAAAGGCTTAGACATGTGTTATCATTCAGGAGACAGAAGTCTCAGGGGCACCATTGTTTCTTGTACTTCAAACAAGGTTGATGGAGACGCTACAACTTGGATGATGACCAAAATGCTTGACTGGGGATACATGAATGATGCATTAAGCGTCAGCTGGTGCACTGAAAAAAAAGAACACATTGTTAGAAACTATATCTATACTAACATGTTTTATAATTTGGTATTAGCTATAAGTTGGTGAGTATACCTATCAGCGTCATCCTTCTCTTTGTTGTTATCTTCATTGAACAATTTCTTAACTGGTGGTGTTGTCTGAGAAGGGTGCGCTCTGTTGAAGGACATATTTTAGTATAAGTGGATGTGGAAAATTCAGTAACAGGACAATGAGAGATAATAGTTATACCTCTTCCTGGAGGTAGTGGCAGAAGCGGGCGAAGGAGCAACTGGGCTTAAAGTCTTATCATGCACAGCCACAACCTTTGCTTTCTACAAAAAGGGAAGTAAGGTACTGTGCAGCCAAGAGTAATAACATAAATTGTGTTAAGATAAAAAGATTAGACAGATTATGAAATTTATACCATTGCAGTTTTATCTTGAACTTTCTGAGCTATCGATGGAAAAAGCGTGTCAAGTGAGGTTACTTGTTCTGTTGGAGCACAAGAGAACTTGCTGGTTGGCGTGTGAGGTGTTGAGGACTGTAAAGCCTGCTTCTTGGGTGTGCTAATTGCCACAGATGGAGAAGCTGTTGCAATGGATGGTGGGGAAGAACAACCAACCTCAATTACTTTTGTTGGTGACAACAAAGCACTGCTTGATCCAGATGACATCATAGCTGATGAAGTCTAAGAAGATGTTGGGGACATAAGTAGAAGAGGCTGTCCAGAAGTATCCCCTGAGATTATGATGTTCACTTGGAATGAAACCTCGCAGTTTCTAAGTGAGCTCTCTGTGATGATGACGTTCCAGACGAATTGTTTCTCAAGCAAGCATGTTATCTCATCTGGGATGAAGTTAGAACCTTCTGGTATTTTGTCAATCAAAGCTTCAATTGGCTTCCGCACGAGGCGTTGAGCCGTTTTCCCAAAGAGGATAAACTCGGCGTTATCACTGTCATCACCTGCTGTGAGTGCTAGCTTGTATCTGCATGTTATATCGCAATAGATGAGAGTTATTGAATGGAACATAACCTGTTATGTCAAAATAGACAATAATCGTTACTTTACCTTGGTGTTGCCATTCCAATCCAAGAACAGCTGCCGCACTTGTACGTGTATCCATATGGCTTTGCTCCTTTGAAGCACTTCTGGCAGGAACGATACCACCAAGAGTTCTCGTTGCAGATTTTTCTTATAGTTACACTGGTTATAAATCGAAGCCTCTGCACCAATGAACAAAGAGAAACAACATGAGAAATAAGCAATGTCTGATAGACAATGTGAATCTAGCCTACCCAACACTAACACGACATTTGTGAGGATTGAGTTTCTTAAGCTCTACCAACAGGGTCATCTTCATATACAGTGGCTGCTGTTTCAACCCATCTGATTGGCTGCAATTTTTCCCCAAGTCTGTATAACGATTGTTATGAGAAAATATGTACATCATACCTATCTTAGAATCTGCACATGCAAAAAGGAAATTATGCACTAACTTCTTTTTTAGTTCAGCTATCTCAGGTATATCGATATTAATATACCACTTGCATGCAGAACATCCAGACAGCGCCAAGCCTACATTTGTACAATAATTAGATATGGCATATATATGTTGTATGTATGAGGTATATTTTGTTGCTTTCTATTAGAACTCACCTATCCCAGACTTGGTGTAGTCCTTGACAAGTGTCCCAACAAAGAGAACAATCTGGGGTTCCTTTTTACCAGCATTGTATATATCCTCAGCTTGAAAGGCTAGTGCTCGTTCACCCCAAAGAGCGACATTTAAAATAGAGTTGCTATTTGTGTAAACATAAAAAAAAGGTGGGAGGCATGTTAAAAAAATTAAATGCCCTATGCTAGTTCTTGTTTGTGTTTGAGGTTAGTCCACTGGTTAGCATATAATATAAATCAATATAAATAGGAGAAGAAACAACAGGTTGAGAGACCATTACTTGGCATCACATATTTGAACTGTCCTTTTTTAAGCTGTCAGCTTTTCTTGACTTGGGACGTAGCATTGTCGGTGTAGTTATCTCAGTAATGACACCCACAACATCTGGGGAAAATGGAAAAGTTGTAAATATTAGAGCCAACAGAGTAATTTATAAACTTTGCAAAGACATAACAGCAATGGGCATACCAACAAAGCGATCAACATTGCCAACCAGATTTGGAACATCATTGTAAGATGTTAAGGAGTACACAATAGTAGGGAAACCAGCAGGGCCACCAATGCATTCCTCAATTTCAGTCCAAGTAGTAAATAGGATCATCATTTCATTGGGAACTGGCCTGTATAACCTATTTCCATACTTGACAGTGTATGAGTGTAAGTAATAGACTTTTCCTTCTGTAAGCAGAGGCTTGTACTTTTCCGTAAGAGGAGGAAAGATATGTGCATGGATGCTATTACCCTATATAATATGACAAATCAATGTAAGGAAACATGTAAAGCATCATCGAACTCAAAATTTACTTGCTGAACTGTCTTACCTTTGCATCAAGCAACAGAAGGTCTTTGTGAAAAAAATTACTTTCATCCTTAGCATCACAGAAATCCCAGAGTCTAGATAATCGAACACAAAGACGTTCATTCTCATCACCACAAATCAGATCAGAAATCAAGATTTCTCCCATGTCAACCTACATCATTCGAAGTTATTAAACACAACAATATAATAAACATCGAACTGACGTATATGTAATTGAATGACAACTATAAACAGAAGTAATACATAGTAGAGAAAAAAAGGAAATAACAATTACTATGTTAGCAAAAATGGAGAGCATAAGATCCTAAGCAATTAGCAAAACAAGAACCATCCAGTAAATCGACCACATGTTCAAAAAAACATATCCAAAAAGGTGCGCACAACGCACATAATCATATGCTGGAGATTAGTGCAGCGGCAGCTCAGCCTGCAATTGTATCTATGCGTAAGAACGAAGACAATGTGTAACAATCAAAATCTAAAATAGTCAGATGGTGTACCGCTGCTTGTGTAGCAGCAAGAATTTCATGGTACACAACATTTTTTGTTTGTGTACCACAGGAACCATCATCGTTTTCAATCAATACTCGTAAACCTGATCGAGAAGTTGCCCTTGAGAAAGCGACATATAGTTGACCATGAGTAAAAACAGGTTTTTTGAGGTATACGCCGACCCTGTCAAGTGTTTGGCCTTGGCTTTTATTGATAGTCATGGAGTAGCAAACTCGAACAGGGAATTGTCTTTTCTGCAATGTAAATGGCCATTTCACATTCGTAGTGCATAGTGCAATTCTAGGAATGTATATTTTATCGCCAATGTTAGAGCCAGTTAATATGACACATTGTAGAAGATGCTCACCGAGTTGAACTATCAAAAGCCTAGTTCCGTTGCACAAGCCCATTGATTGATTTATATTTCGAAGTAGCATTACCGTGACACCTTCTTTCAGTACAAGCTTATGTGTAGGGAAATTGTTTGCATCAATTGAGTTCAGAAATTCAGTGGGATATAATAGCTCAAAATCTGGGATTTGATCACTACACTTTGATATTGTATCGCAGCTAAGGTACTCCTTTCCAATGCCTGGAACTAAGCCCACAACATAATCATTTATCTCATCAACAATCGAATTGTTAGGGCACACGATCGCACGTGAAGCTAAATAGTTAGGGTCTTTATAATGCTTTAAGAAATCAAGATAGACCTCTCTAACAACAACAGCTATCTTATCACCATCTGTCATGATAAGCAAGTCATGAGATATTTCGATCCATGAAGCATAGTTGTCACCATCTTTCTTAGCTGCAGGCAAAGTACCATCACCAACAGCCAAAAGCCATTTACCGAAATTACTAAGCTCATCTCTGTGTGCATCTGGAAGCGAAGGGTTAAGTAACCTCATTTTTATTTTCAAACTAAGCACAACAACATGTTTCCATAACTTCGAGTTTGTGATCGATGCGGCAATAATTGCTTTCCGTGGACCTTTGGGCACAACAAGTAGAATTTGCCTAAAGTCGCCACCCAGGACAACCGGAACACCACCAAATGGAACAATAGCATTTCCAGAATACGTTTCAGAAAGGATATCCCGAAGTGTACGATCTAACGCCTCGAAGCAACATTTATGTGTCATGGGAGCTTCATCCCAAATAATAAGTGCAGTGTTTTGCAGCAACTCAGCAAGCATTGTTCCTCTCTTTACATCACAGGCTATTTTCGTTAATATCGACAGGTATTTTAAATCGTGAATGGGCTGTCCTGCCTTTTGGCAAAAGCAA